GCGCAAGTAACGCAGTGCACTGCCAGAGGTGCACGGTTATATGCGCGGCCGTGCACGACCACTTCCGGAAACTTTACCCAGGCCTATTTTTGTATTTTTGGAGGCGACTCCTTTTAACCTATATGAAGCCTAACTCGTCTAAAAACGGATATCTCGAATTTTAGAGAACTTTTAGGGAGAGAAGAAGGCAAGAAAATAACGGAGACTCAAAATACTTCATCCAATTCATTCAATACAGTAGTTTGTTTGATTTTGGGAATTATAATGTCTTCTTGTTCTTCTAATACTCTTGTGATGAATAACTTCTCCACTATGGAGTAATCTTCCTTAGGGTTGTTGACGGATATTGTGATTGGCTAGTGTTTTGGGGCTTTACGTTCTGTTAATTGCCTGAATTCGTTGAATGAGTATTAATTGAATTGCAAATCCAATTGTGGTTTTACTTTAATCGAAAGAGAAGTGTTGCTGCAATTCGCATTGTATTTTCTTGTTTGGGTTGATTTTACGACTCTCTTAGGTAATCGAAAGAGCTTAGAGAGTTATCAATTGACCCAATTTAGAAGAATAGTCGGGAGACGTTCTTTGAAATATTTTTCACTCACTGTATATTCGCATACGTTCTTAGAACCTGTCATTAGGTCGGTTAACAGAACTCTCATTCATTCGGAAGAAGATTTTGAATCTGTAAGATAGACTAATCATTTGTTGAAATCGTAAGAGTCAATAGAAGTTAAGAGTGAACTTAGTACGGAGTTACCCAGAATAATAGTTGATCACATATCTTATCACAACCCTTACTTCTCACCTTGATATTCAATCGTTGCTACTTAGTCATTAAATTTCCATTATTTTCTCACAATTGATAATTTTAGTTTTTATTATTAGTTGATAATAACATAATAAAAAGGTTTATTTCATGGATAGTATTAAGCTGAAGATTTATTAGAACATTATTTAAATCAATCCATTGTCACACCCCAACCTCGGGGAGCGCAACCGATGCTCAACCGAGTGGACCCGGTCGAGCAAGCCTGTTAGACACTATCTACCCGACTCACCTATGATCCAGAGAAGGCATGCTCTCATTTGTTAGGCAATAGAAGGTTCATACATATATACATTACTAGGTCGTTTCATTTTGTCACATCATTGTTAAGTTTCAAAATACATACATCCTTATGACTAAGTGGAACAAGAGCCCCAAACACAACATGATCCGTTGACCTTTCTAACACCCATATACAACCCACATAGTGTCTACGGAGTCTCTAAAGATATAAAAGAGAATAAAGATGGTGCCGACAACAAGGCCCCCGCTATACCTCAAAAAGTGACCACAATATAAACAAAAGGTACAATACATGACCCCGGAATGAAATGGGGCTCACCGAGTCCACCGAGAAGAGGATGCAGCACTATCTGTGATCAACACTATCTGCTATGTAACCACCTGCATCTATTTTAAGATGCAGCGCCCCCGAAAAAAGGGATGTTAGTAATGTCGAATAGCACTAGTATGTATAGCTAAACACCATCTCAATAGAATGAATAATAATACAAGAGGAACAGTCAAGAATTCAATAAGAGCTTCAAATAATTTTAAAACATCAAGTTAAGGATCACATAGCTTTTTAAGTCAATTCCCGTATTATTAGGTTGGATAGTTTTTAGAGCCAATATGCCACAATCCACAATACCACTGTATTCTTACACGGAGTCCGATCTCGGCCCGATCGGCTAAGCCATCTCATTTGAGACATCAACCATATTCACTATTTCATTCACAATACTATCGTGTTATTACACGGAGTCCGATCTCGGCCCGATCAGCTAAGCCATCTCATTTAAGACATCAACCATGTTCACAATTTCATTCAAAATACCACCGTATTATTACACGGAGTCCGATCTCGGCCTGATCGGCTAATCCATCTCATTCGAGACATCAACCATTCCAATCGATCATCTTACTTCATATTTCTTTCCCATCTTTTTAGCACATTGGCACAGGTGGCTTTAATTATAAAGTCGTTCTTGGCACTTGGCCTTATTACATAATTCAAGTTCTTTTCGACAATCCAACATTATTATTATTATTATCATCAATAACAACACGATTTTCATTCAAGACTCTTGATTTCACATGTGAGCAATTTAGAATTCAAGGCACATGGAGGCTTTTCACACAATTTGGCATAACAGTCCTTAATCGAATTTGACTTAAAGTCTAGGAATATTAGCATATATTCTAATTCTTGAACATTTTCCCAGATGACGAGATAACATAATGAAAGCATGGGAATACATATTACAAATATATTTGCAAAGCAAGCACATTCGAGATAGCAATTTCTAGGACGTTCAATTTGGGACTTACGTCGATTGCATGAATACCACGGGATTCAATTCTAAGAAGAGGGGGTTTAGCCAACATACCTCAATTGAGTCTCTTAAAACTTTAAGACGTTCCGGAATATTAGCAACTTTAATCTATTTTAGCAATATTGCAAAATTGAACCCAAAATTAGGAAAACGATCATAATTCTAGCTCACTTGAGCATTCTATCAAACACTATATGTGTATTAAGGTTTCATGGCCCATTTTATGAAAGACTCCACCAACCCACGCCCCATTCTTTTCTATCTTTAACTCACAGCCTCCCCACATACCTTAGGAACACATGCATACAAGGTAAGCACTCCCATCCCCATGAATTACCTTACTAATGGCCCATTCTAGTTACATTTTAAAATTAAGAGCTTGAGTGATAGAATCTTACCTCTTAGGAAGAAGACCTAGGTGCCTCACTTGATAATCTTCAAGGTTTTAAGTGAGAATTGAAGAGCATTTTGATGAAGATCACTTTCTCCCTCTAGGACCCTCTCTCTCACTCTAAAAATATCAGAAAATAAGTTCAAAATGGTCCAAGGTAGGTGTTTTAACGGAATAGGGTCAGGTTTAAAAACCCAAAAAATAAAACTTCGGAACAGGTTCTGCTTGCGGTCCACGAAATGACTGCGAAATTTGGGTGCCAAAACTGGAAAGGAACTAAACATGTCTGCGGTCACTACGTGGCCCGCAGACCTGTTCTACAGTCACATAATACACCGCAGAACGGTTCTGCGGTTGCATAGTGCACCGCTGAACCTCCCTCCAAAAAATCCCAAAGCGGAATATGCGACAAGAGTGCGACCCGCGAAATAGTTATGCGGTCGCATAATGGGCCGCAAAAATGACATTAAAAATTTCCCAAAAGACTGCTCCACTCTACGGCCATTCCGCGGTCCGCAGAGTGATTCTACGGTCGTAGAACGGGCCGTAAAAATGCCTACTTCTGCCCAAAATTTTCCTTCAACTCCCCAGCGCACTGTTCAATCCAAAAAGTCCGAACTGCGGCGAGCTTGGAATTCGGGTTTTTAGGAAATATTTTACGGGGCCTTACATCCATGTGGAAACGATTTAATATTATACTATCTTTGACTAGCGAGCTTAAGTTCTATACACCGATTTTGCGCTCGTCAAATTTTGGCATTGTTGCCGGGGATTGACACTTAATAGTGTTTGAATTAATTTTCGGTGCTAATTCAGGAATAATTTTATTTTATTTTCCTTTTTTATGCTCTTCTCATCTGTGTTCAGGAAACAAGTTAAGTTCAGCGGCGTATGACTCGATCCTCTTCCAAGGAATTGGTGCCATACGATCTAGATTTAGACAAGCACTTGAGGTAGTTGAGAAGGGAGAAAGGATCGAGCGGATTGCTGTTGGGTCAGCCTTCAACTCAGAATACAATGTTGAACAACAAAGAGGAGGTGAACCTAGCTGCGAGAGAGGCAGCTCAGCGACAGGAAACACAGTTAGCAGCTGAAGCAGCCCGTAGAGTTGTGGATGAAACAATTGATGGGGATAGAAGGTTTAATCTCAACCGAACCATGATCGAAGATAAATTTGAAAATACAGCCCCTAGGCCTGGGAGGTCGCTGGGAGATTATGCCAGACAGATGTAAAACCAACAACAGTCTAGGTGAAGGGTAGACAATGTTCGAGGCATGGAAAAGATTTCAGAAGCTATTGCAGAGTGCTCTCATAACGGAATGGAGCAATGGATGCAACTCCAGGACTTCTGGGATGGATTAAACCCATCATCAAAGAGATTGCTGAATAGTGCGGTTGCAGGTCCTCTGATGAAGAAAACCCCTGAAGATATTGTCACACTTCTGAATGAACTATCTGAAGACGCAGAACAATGGTCCACTGACTAAGAGGATCGAAGAAGATCAGCGGGGGTGCACCAAGTAGAATCGTCGGTAGCAATGCAAGCTGAAATTATAGCTATGGCTGAGGACATTAAGCAACTGACGATAGCTCAGGTGCAAAATCAACCACAGGTGGGATGTGACATCTGTGGATTGGGACACCCTACACATGACTGTCAAGCCACAGCTGAGGAAGTCAACATTGTGGGGATCTTTAATAGAGGAAACTACCAAGGTGGGAACAACTATAATGCTATGGGTCAAAGACATCCAGGTTTTTCGTGGAGTTCACCTAATGGGAGCTTGAACTCATGGCAGCAAAACAATCTCAGACCCAAGGGTCAAGGACCACTAGGTTTTCAGAACCAGCAGAAGCATCAATACCAGCCACCATAGCAAATTTAGTCAAATATGGAAGATCTCATGAAGGCATTCATCAACAAAATAAATAAAAAATTCGAGAATCATGGCACGACTATCCGGAATTTAGAAAGACAAATGGGACAGATTGTGAATTTGTTATCTGAGATGACTCCTGGTACTCTTCCCTCTGACACTGAAAAGAACCCAAAGGAAATAATCAAAGTTATATCTTTGAGAAGTGGTAAAACATTGACTGACCCAGAGGTGAAAGCTAGACCTGAGGTGGTTAGCAAACAGATTGAGACACCAGTAGAGAAAGAGAGTGAAGAGCAAAAGAGCGAGAGTAGTGGGGTACAAAAAAGGATTGAAGAAAAGTAGACATATGCCAGCTCTACCATTCCCTCAAAAGATGAAGCGAGAGAAACTTGACAAATATTTTGGGCGATTCCCGGAGATGCTCAGGCAACTGTATGTGAACATTCCTTTCACAGAGATACTCACTCAGATGCCTGTTTATGCCAAGTTCTTAAAGGAAATCCTATCTAGCAAGAGAAAATTAGAGGAAACAATAGTGGTCAAGGTAAATTCCCATTGCAGTGCCATCTTGCAAAATAAAATTCCCCAAAAGTGTGGGGATCTAGGAAGATTCACCATACCATGCTCGTTGGGGAGTGAAATATTCGACAAGGCCCTCTGTGATTCTGGTGCGTTTATAAATTTAATGCCTCTGTCTTTATTCAGGAAACTGGAAGGTGAGCTTGGAGTGATCAAATCAATACCAGTGTCCCTACAACTGGCCGACCAAACCACCATTCTATCTGAGGAAATCATTGAGGATGTTTTAGTGCGGGTGGACAAGTTTTTTTTCCCCGTATATTTTATTGTGGTGGATATGGAGGTGAACAAGGAGGTACCTGTAATTCTAGGGAGGCCATTCTTATGCACAGACAGAGCTATCCTTGATATCTATGAAGGGCAGCTTATGCTCAGAGTGGGCAACAAAAAAGTTGTGTTTCAGATAAAGAGGATGATGAAATACCCCAGTGATGAGGGGTATGCCTACTCGTGTTTCAAGCTGGACGTTGTTGGAGAATTGGCTAAAATATACATGTTTGACAAGCTTATGGGGGATACTCTAGAGAGGTGTATTACCCAGTCTAGCACAGTGGAGGATGAAGATCCTGAAATAAAAAAAGAGGAAGAAGCTCTTGAGACTGAGGATCAAGTGGTTGATGAGGAGGAACTAAAATAGAAGGATGCTAAGCCTAGTGGAATTGAAAATGTCACGCCCCAAAATCGAGGAGCGCGACTGGCGCTCAAACGAGTAAACCCAGTCGAGCAAGCCTAATTTACATTAACCTCTCATCATTACTCATGCATGGTTTACCATAACATAATAAGATCTTGACTTTCATATTAATTACACTTGGCTTAATGGCCCATATTTTCTTTCTCGTGGTGGTTACATAGCTCTATAAATAGCTGTAACTACTTGACCCAAACACCCACTAGAACTGTAGCGGGCTCACCATAAGCTGAGTAGTGAAGAAGATGTCTATCAAAGATCCATATCATCCTGTAGAAGTATACCTGCATCCATTAAAAAATGCAACACCCCCGGAAAAAGATACATGAGTACATGTGGAATAGTACTCGTATGTAAGGCAGTCAAAACAACATATGAAAATACGGTAACTCAAATAAGAGGCAAATAAAGTACATCAAGAAACTACGAAACATCCAATAAAATCACATTTCAAGTCTTATTATACTTGCATCATTCTAACCTTCTTTTAGGATCAACTGCGCCATATAAACTATACGTGGAATACATAACATAATGTAATTTTATCAATATGTACAAACAATGCCAACGAAAGTGGCACCTTCCTCCCTTATTTTACACATACACATTTTGTAGACCGTCCTTAGTGTTCACATATCATATTATATACATATGCGTCTCATAGACCGTTCACAGCGTTCACTTACACGATACAAATACACCTATTCAAGAGCTTGGAAATACAACATGAATATGATGAATCATGGTAACAATAAATGGGCTTAGATAGCCGTTAACGTCAAGCAAATTTATTAAGAGCTTCTATTCAAATTTATCGATATTAAGTCGGGGATTCTTTATAACCACCCTCACACAAAGCGGCCCTGCCGCCTCACCCCAACATATGCGGGTGGAGGTGTATCATGATACCACAACCTCTACACAAAGCGACCCTGCCTCCTCACCCTAATATATGTGAGTGGAGGTGTATCATAACACCATAATCCCAACACAAAGCTGTCATGCCGCCTCACCCCAATATATGCGGGTGGAGGTGTATTCCATAATACAACAATCTCTACACAAAGTGGTCCTGCCGCCTCACCCCAATATATGCGGGTGGAGGTGTATTCCATAATACAACAATCTCTACACAAAGTGGTCCTGCCGCCTCACCCCAATATATGCGGGTGGAGGTGTATTCCATAATACAACAATCTCTACACAAAGTGGTCCTGCCGCCTCACCCCAATATATGCGGGTGGAGGTGTATTCCATAATACAACAATCTCTACACAAAGTGGTCCTGCCGCCTCACCCCAATATATGCGGGTGGAGGTGTATTCCATAATACAACAATCTCTACACAAAGTGGTCCTGCCGCCTCACCCCAATATATGCGGGTGGAGGTGTATTCCATAATACAACAATCTCTACACAAAGTGGTCCTGCCGCCTCACCCCAATATATGCGGGTGGAGGTGTATTCCATAATACAACAATCTCTACACAAAGTGGTCCTGCCGCCTCACCCCAATATATGCGGGTGGAGGTGTATTCCATAATACAACAATCTCTACACAAAGTGGTCCTGCCGCCTCACCCCAATATATACAGGTGGAGGTGTATTCCACAATCACAATACCATATATAAACTCAAAGCAACATAGTTTGTCATTACATTTAACATCATAATTACTCATATCATTGGAATACTTCATGTTCATGCTTATCATGGAGAAACACAACTCATTACATTAGCGCATGTATGGTAAATCAATAATTTGATTTCAATGGCACATGGGCCCAATTCCTTTTCTTAAGGTTCATCATCATTTAACAAAGGACATCTCATTATTCACTCCCTTGACCTCTTGAGGTCATTATCTAGGTTCATGACTCTTGGGGACTTAACAATCAAAGTCATTTACATACATTATTTCAGAAGCATACAACTATAGTTGAAACCATTGGGACATACAACACTTCGAAATTCTCATTTAGGCAACGATCACATTTCATGTTCATACTATCACTTACTTGTACTTGTCATGGGTGATCATAGAACATTAAGAGCATTTAGAACATTTAGGAACATCATAATCTTTACTCGCAAGAACGTAGGGGCTTATAACACATTGAAAACAAAAGTATAAATACGTGCATCTCATAACCTTTCACACCCTATATCACTTAATCCGTACTTTCAACCACTTACAATATTATTATTTTATTGGCTCTCTTGGCCATACATATGATTCTTCTTTCATGGCACAATGGCCGTATTTCATATTCCACACTTTCATATCTTTCCTTACATGGATCATCATCCTAAATATCAACATATACAATATTCCGAAAATCACAACTTTAGGTTAATTAGTAATGAAGACTTTAAACACAATGGATTTCTTTCCGAGAAATGGAGTAAAATGATTGGCAATCGAAGCACAAGTTAAAATCATAAACAAGTAACATATCGTTTCTTCTTGAATTACCTTTTCCCCAAAAGGACAATACACAATTTTCACTCACGAATATGTAAGAATGCAAAACACATTGAAAATACTCACTAAACATAGCATTAGCTAAAACAGCCACATATGGGCATCACTTGAGTTCATAAGCTTTTAGGCAATTCTATTTTCAAAGTTAATTTTAGAATAGTTGAATCAAAGCTCATTTCATAAACTTTCTCACATCATCTCATTTCATGGGCACCATTGGCCACAAGTATAACTTTCACTCTTGGCACGTTGGCCACACTTTATATCCCCAATTCACTTATTTCACTTCCAACCATCTTTGTAGGTTATCAACAATAAGACATTTCCAATCAATACTTTAGGTACACATATGAGCAATTAAGAGTCTTAAGCATTTTGAGTTTTCTCACATAATTTGACATCATAACCTTCCTTTGAAACACCACTATCACTACTAGAAATTTGGCAAAAACCGACCACGGTCGACCGATTTGGTTGGTTAAAAAACCGGCCAAAAAACCGACCAAAGTTGGTCGATTTTTCAAAATATTTTATTTTTTAATTTTTTTTACGAAACCGACCAACTTTGGTCGGTTTTCTTTGGCGCAAAAATGCGAAAAAACTATTTTTGAGTCCGGCAAAATTTATTTTTCAAGAAACCGATCAACTTTGGTCTGTTCATTTAAAATAAATTAAAATTAATATTAAAAAACCGACCGAAATCGGTCGGTTAAGTCGGCCGATCATTTCAAAAAACCGACCGAATTCGGTCGGTAATTTTATTTTTTAATAAAACTTTAGTGCGAAAATACAATTAAAGAGTATAAATGAAATAAAAGACAATCTTAAAATAAAATGCACTAATGGTCTAGTGGTAGAATAATATCCTGCCACAGTACAGAGCCCGGTTCGATTCCCAGATGGTGCATTTTTAATTACATAATTAAAATACCGACCAACTTTGATCGATTTTTTTGGCAATTGTTTTTTGAATTTAATGGCCAATCAAAGTTGGTCGGTATGCCCTTCCGACCTTCAAAATACCAACCACATGTTAGTGGTCACGTTTTGGATGGTTATTGGTCATTACCGATCAACTTTGGTTGGTTTTTTTGGATGATTTTTCCTGAATTTCTAGTAGTGACTCAAAGATATAGCATTTTAATACATATATCATTCTTGAGCACATTCCCAAAAGATAACATAATGTGATAGGAATATTCGAAACATGTTTTGAATACATAATTCTCGGCACTTTACTTATTTGGGACATTCAAATTTATTGGGAACAACCCAGAACATAGAATAAGGTACTTGAGACATCCATACTTGAAACTTACGGGAACATCATTGAATTCAATTCTAAGAAGGAAGTTTAGCCAACATACCTCGCTTTGAGCTTTCCTTAAATTACTACAACGTCCCGAAAATTCTAGCAATCCCAATCTATTTTGAGACATAACAAAATTGAACCATAATTAGGAAGATATCCATGGTCTCAACTCATTTGAGCATTTTATCAAATACTAGGCGTGCAAATTTAACTACAAGGTTCTTCTACAAGATTTTCTTCACTCCACAGCCCAATATTTACTTATTTGAGCTCAACAATCTGTCCACAAACCTTATAGGTACAAGCATATATAAATAATACTCTTACACCTAAGAATCATACTCTCAATCAACCATCTTTTACCCAAATTCAAATTTGAAAACTAGGGTATGGAACCTTAAGATCTTGTGAGATTTCCTTGTTAGATTTCAAAGCTTGGGCAAGATCTTGATGAACAAAATACTTCATCTACTTTCTCTCTCTAGAACACTGTCACTTCTCTATAAAAAACCTTAGATAATTTTCCCAAAATAATCCCTAAAGCCTACTTATCAAAATGGGGTGGGGTTATGAAAATAGAAAAATTAACCCTCTGAAATCAGGACTGCGGTCGCATAATGGACCGCAGAATGGATATGCGGGTCGCAAAATGCACCGCACAATTGGTGCCAAAAATTGGGCTGTACTGGTCTATTTTGCGACCAGTTTGCGGTCGCAGAAGCACTTTTGCGATCGCATAATAATTATGCGATCGCATAATAATTATGCGATCGCATAATAATTATGCGATCGCATAATAATTATGCGATCGCATAATAATTATGCGATCGCAAAATCTCATTTTTCTAGACTTTGGTAATTTGGTCATAACTTCTTATAGGAGTGTCCAAATGACAAACGGTTTAAAGAGTTGGAAACTAGACTCAAAGATCTTTAATGTGATAGGTAGATCATCTACTAAGTAGTTGTAGTTTGGTAGCGGCATGCATTTGAAGTAGGATCTTGTGTGAACTCACTTAAAACTTTATCCCATTATAAAATTTTCAACTTCTCTTAGCCTTGGGGCTCTTCTTAGACCATAAACCATTCTTAATGCACATCATACATATATTATCATGATCAATTGATATCATTCATATAATAGTCCTT